GAAAGCTATTATTGCATCGATAAAAACTCGAGCGCGCAACGCAGCTTTTCGAGTTACGCTATACCCGTTAAAAGACGCTCTTTCGGTAAAAGCAAAAGTCTAATCCACTTATAACTAGCTTAAAGTTATTTTCGTTAAGCTAATAAAAATAAATAAACTCGAGCCCGTTTATACCGCGATTTTAAACCGAAACGCTTTACGACCGGAAGACTTACGGAATTTGCTCGTCACGCTATTAAAAGCTTTTAAAGCTGCACTTAAGCTTAAAGCTAAGCCTTTTAAGACTGCTAAATTATACGAAAGACTTAGCAAAGTGATCTCTTTTTTAAGAATAGATTACGAAGCGATTCGTATTAAGCTTTTAAAAAAGCGCGATTTGCTTAAGAACTTAACTCTTAATAAAACTATTGCGTTCTTCGCTATTCCTTTTACTTTTAAACGATCTTTTTTCAAAAGTATAATCGATAAAATAATTTAATAAACTTTTATTAGCGAAAGCGTTATTAATTGCTTTTAAACTACGGTTAACGTTACGAAAGCTTCGAAAGATTGCTTGATTATAAGTAGCAAGCTTATATCGAAAGCGACGGATAATATAATAAAAAACGGACTTGCTTCGAGACTTTAGCGACTTATTCAAAGAGAAAGTAATATCTTTTTATTTAATAGCGATCTATTTTATAAAGTTACGAGTCGCTTTATCGATGAAACGCTTTATCGTAAGAATTTACTTTTTTTTTTTCTTTTGCTACTTCGATTTACGGCCGAATCACTAGTAAAGCGGACTTTATATAAGTCTTTGCTCGATCAAAACAGATCTTATATAAAGATGTTATTGCTTAACGGTCTTAGCTTAAACGCTTATTCGAATTCTTTTAAATAACTAAGCTTTAATTGCAAAAGAACATCCGTAGCAGCTAGATTAAGCATCGTTGACGCATTACGCTTTTCGCACTCGAATCTCTTTCGATTTAAAAACGGTTTTGCTTTATTCTTATTATCGGTTTTATTCCGATTTTCTTTACGGTTATATTTTACGGTGTTTTTTAATTTTAATATCTTTTTCTCGATTAATTTACTCGTAAAGATCGGCGTACTTTACGGACCGTAATCGAAAGTAATACGGAACTTTTTTTAACGGAAATCGGCTTTGCTTCGACGTTTAATTAACTATTCTTTAAATACTTTTATTATTATTCGCTAACTCTTAAAGTTATCGTTAATATACTCGGACAATTTTTAATTATTAATGCGAAAGCTACACTCGATATAAATGCGAAAGTTAGCGTTATCACTTATAATGCCGCGATTAAATTCGAAGTCTTTATAGCTTACGATTAAGAAATAAGCTTTCGAATAATCATCGGTTTATTATCGCGTTTTATCGGATACGCCGATAACGTATTTATTAATATTAAAAGTGCTACGATCCGTATTCGATTTTACGTTATAGATTCGTTAAAGTTTCGACTTATACTCGATTATCTTTTTATACGCAAAGCGAAAATCGGTCCTCGATACTTTTTAAATTATAAAAGTAGCTTTATTATTATTATAATTATTAATTCGTTTACGAGCCAAATTACTTAAGCTAAAGTAAGCGATAAAACGAATCAATACAACGAAGCTATCGATCGCTTAAAAAAGCAGAGTATAAGCCTTATTTATTACGATAAATCTTCGAGTAGCAACAATAGCGACTCGGAAAACTAATAACCGGCCTTGTAAAAAGCGCCGAAGTCGGTATATTAAAAGCTTTTTGCTTTTCGTTTAATTTTAAAAGCGAAACGTTATAGCATCGAGAAAAAGACGATTTTATTACTTAAAAACAATTTATCGATGTTTTTGCTTTTACGGAATGCGATCTTTTAATAATTTATTAAATAAATGCCGTTAGCACAGATAACCTTATGACCCGCTATTACGATTATATCGACTATTAAAATTTAATATTTTATCGGACTCGAAAAAAGATCTTTTCGAACTCGGCTAAAGTGTTCGGCATATATAAGACTAAAAATAAAAAGATTAAGCTAATTAACGAAGCAAACGGCGTAAAAGCAGTATCAAATAACAAAGTTGATTAGTATAAGCTATCAAAAGCTAAAGATACGTTATAAAAGCAAATAAAAGAATATAAGCAATACTTTTTTCCGCGTATTATCGATATACCGAAAAGCTTTCGAATTATACTCGAACGTATAACGAACTTAAATATCGGTAATATATTACGGCTTAAAAAAAAAGATTTATTTAAAAAGATAATGCTAAGCAAAAAAAAATTAATCGCATTCGCTTAACAAAAGTGCGGTAAGTTTTACGACGACGTTTTACTATCGATTAAGCTTAAAACTATTTTATACACGGCTTAACAAGCTTTTAACTACTCGTATCCGAAGGCTTTATAACTTATTATTATTAAAATGCTTTAAAACAAGCTTAATAAAAGAGTTTTAAAGTATTATGAAAGACCGTATCGGAATTAATAGTTCTTAATAGCTAAAAAGCAGCCGAGTTAATACAGACTTATTAACTTAGCAACTCTACTTAATACAATTACACGAAAGGACGCTAATCTACTTTTAATTATAAATAAGTTTGCTAAAAAGTTTTTTGATTGTTAGATAGCTAGCTTAATCGACTTTTATTTAAGCTATAATTAGCAAACACTTTATCAATCGAATAAAAACTTTACCGCTTTTTTTATACCGCTAAGTCTTTTTCGATGTATTACTTTTTCGCAAAATGCTATAAACTCGATAGGTTAATTCGTTCGAATAATTAATCTTATCTTAAAGCTTTTATAACTTAAGGTTTTTATATCGTTTATCGACGATATTAAAGTAAAAAGATTATAAACGGACTATTCCGACGAAAAAGCACTTTTAAGTATACGCCGATTCGTATTCGAATATATTTAAAATATCGATAAGACTTTAAAACGGATTAAGCGCGTTAATATTATAATCGAAGAAAAATTATAATTTTGTTAAGATAAAATAAATATAATAAGATTCGTATATAATTCGAAAGGTCGAGAACCCGTTACGAATAAAGTTATTAAAATTAATAATTAAAAAACTTTTGAAAACGTTATTAAAGTTAAAAGATTTTTAAGCTTTTACTTTTACTTTTGTATTTAAGTTAAAAGATTCGTATATATTGCTAACCTTTTTTACAACTTTACTAAAAAAAATATAAATTAGCAATAGATCGAAGCGTATTCGAAAGCTATGCGAATACTATAAAACGCTTTAACGACGGCTTCGATTTTAATCAAAATCGATTACGAAAATTAAAATAAAAAAATAATAATAAAAACAAACGCTAATTTAAAAAGATAAAGAAGATATATCGGCTAATGCGAGATTACTTTTAATAAAATGCAACCGGCTCGATACGAGTCCGAGGCTTAAACGAAAGCAAAACGAAATTACGACGCTATTAAACGAAAATGCCGCGAAATACTTAAAGTTTTTAAAAAACTTAAGTTATAGATTATCGAAATGCACTTTATTTTTAAAACTAACGTTAAAGTGTTCGTCGCTTAGCTTCGACGAAAAGCTATCGATATACTTTCGGTTTTAATTATACGTTAGCTAATTTAAATCAATCTTTTTGACTTTAAAGTCTAATATATTTTCGATAAAGATCACACCGCTACCGATGCATTATCGAAATAATTATAATACTCCGATAATTTAAACGAAAAAAATAAAAATAAGTTCGATAATAATTTGCTAGCCGACTTAAGACTTATTAAAGCTCGAAACGGCTTTAAAGAACTTTCGACGGACTTTTTAATAAATATTCGCTAATCTATTTTTAAAAACATGTTTTAACGCTCGAAAAAAGCGGAGAATATAAACTTAAACGAGTTTAACGACGATTACGATTATAAAAGCTTTTTAAACTTAATCGAATACTCTTCGAAATCAATTCGAATAGCTACTTTCTTAACGACTTAGCGAAGATTTAAAAGCTTAAATAAAATAGAATACCGTAAGTTTAAAAAAAAAGCTATTAAGTACGAAGTGAACGATAAAAAGCTTTAAAGACTCTTAACGAAAAGCTTTCTTTTTCGATTAATAATCGATAAACCTTCGATTAAAACGGATATTATTACGATTTATTACGATAAAAATAGTTATAAAAGCCGTAAATCAATTTATTATTATATTTCTTAACGCTACTTTTAAAATAAATATTATACGGACGTTAAACGATTTGTTAAAACTTATAAAGAATGCTAGCACCGAGCAGCTAATAAGTTCGAAAAACTATTATACTTTATCCGATTTAATAGCTTAATAAAACGTTAAGCTATCGATATCACTTATCTACTTACATACAATAGCAAAAGCTATTTAATTATTATTAAAGATAATATAAATAGATAAGTCGAAGCGAAAGCGATTCGGACTTAAGACTCGCTTTCGATAGTTAAGTTTATTTAAAAAGACATTATCTGCCGTTATAAAAATTTTTTTTAGTTAATAATCAACGGAAGTGTGACAGCCTGCCTTGTTACCTGCAGTCAGCTGATCACCCATTCAGGCCTAGCGCCTGTGGCCATGTATATAGACCTTCCTGAGCTCCCCGAGCTTCCTGTTTCC